CTATGGGGTTTGTTTTGTTTTTTCAGACTAATGATCACTTAACTGCCAGTGAACCTCTTTGAACTTCATTTTGAAAGTTAACAGCAACAGTTTCCAAATGCAAATGGCAAACTTGAAATCAACTAATAAGTGAAATGATGAGGGAATAACACACCTGGCCATTGAACAGCTGGGCAGCCAGCTCTCCAACTACTTTTGAGCCCCTAAAAATATGGGGTGTTGTATGAAAATGTTTGTAATTTCTACACCGTTGACCCAATTTGGATATGAACAGCCTCCAGTTAGAGTGGAAAGCCTGAGCTCATATTCTATATCATTTCAACTCCAGTGTGCTGTGGGAAAACAGCTAAAATAACAATAATTTTGCTGACATCCAAATATTTACGGACCTCACTCTACAAAACCGAACAGATGGATAAAGTTTATAAACTATTTATGCAATCATACGCAAAGATGGACAGAGTTCAAGAACAAAGTCATTGTAGTTCTTTGCTTTTGCAGTTGTCCTTGAACCTCCACACACACTGAATAAGGCTTATTATTAAGCTGATATCAGTATTTGTGAGATTATATAAAATGATTATGTTAACAACATTGTGTCAATGGCCCTCAAACTAAAGTGATGGACAACTGTTCCAATTAAAATCTGGCCCTTATTCAGAATGGTTGTGCATGGTCAAATCTAATCGTGAATGGAGCACAAATATCACTCTCAGTTTTGTTCTTCATCAGTTTCATCTTTGGCGTATCTGTATGATCAAACTGAGGTCTGATAGGATTAAAATTTAAAAGTAAACTAATAAAGAATAAAAATAGAAAATAACAACAATATTAACATTTTGTACACATGACAATATAAACCTGTTAATTTAAAAAACATTTCAACTATCACATGTTCCATTAAAAATCACATTACACCGTGATTTTGTTTTGTAGTACTGACTCCGCCCACAAAATATACAGTACAAAACACAGCTGATGTCACACATTGCAATAAGACAGTGTTTAACTGTTATTTTACACCACAAAATCACATCATTTTACTGTCTTAAAAACAATAAGTTTTGTTTATTTCACATTTATTCTTTCCAGTGGTCATAACTTTATCACTACAAAGTTTGGTCACTCCACCTACGAAGGCAGCCAAAGGCTCACAAGCCAGAATGCTGTCATTTCATTGGCTCCCTACAGAAACATCTCTATGAATTAGGTCATGCTTCATGTAAATGATATGTAAATGAGGTCCTGGCGCTTGATTTCACGCAGTGAAGCTGATTCACCATTTCTTTGCCTTGTACAAAAGTTTAATAAATAAGATGCAGAGTAGTTCATACATCATTAAAGACGCTCAAATGTTTTTTTCTCTTTTTTACATAACTTTGATGTATACAGACCAACGTTCTGAACTTCATTCCCAACTGATGGAACTTATAAGGCAATTCTATGAACTAATCTGATGTCCTCAAAGTGAGTGGATTCCTACATATGTTTCTGTATCAGTTCAGTTTGAGGGCATCTTTCATTAAATTGACACACTATGCAGTGTGTATAATTCATAATTCATAACGCCCATCATTTTAAGGGTCCTTATGTTACTAATTTTATATTACATCTCATGTTGTCTTGTGAATACAGACATAAGCTGTTCATAAATACTCTGACATGCTTTTTTAGTCACATTATTGAGTGTAGGTGCTCTTGCTGCCTGTCTTTCTCCTCTGAATGATTTTTGCAAAACTAAGCTCCAAAGTCTGGATGTTTGTCCTCTCCGGGGTCAGGGTGAGAGAACAGTGTCCTCTCTGGACAGTTCAGATAGCCAGTTTCAAAGGGCAGGCTGTGGTCATTGAGTCTGTACATTGTCAACATTTAGTCAACTTTGTCAACTACTAGGATGTCAGTGTGTAAACTGTGAAACGTGGCACAGACGTTGAAGTGTTTCTGAGCTGTTGGTTGATGTGAAATCTCCCTTTTGTTCATCTAAACTAAAATTCTGCTTTATGTTATTTTATTCAAATAGGAATAAAAACCTGTTAAATTCACAGACTGTGAACTGAGACACCTTTTTTTTACTATGTGGTCTCAATTACAGACAAGCAGCAATGAAATTTAAGTTTTTATGGATTCTGTCTGCCTGCCACGTGTTTTCATTTTTATTTATTTATTTAGTTTATTTATTTATTTAGCTAATTTATTTAGATATTCTGTGAGTGTTGTACTGGAACATTTGTACCTTTACTCAAACTGCAATTTTACTCAATTATATTTCCAGGAAAAAAAAACACTTTTTCCTCCTTTTGTTTTCTTTCAGAACTTCAAAGCACTGGTTACAAATCTCTACAAATTTTTCGTTCTCACATGAACCTTTCCACAGACGGTTCTTCAGAGGTCCATTTTTGTAAAGGAGGTGGGAGTGTGAGTGACCTTTTTTAAAGTCTGAAGAATCTACACATAAAGTTTCTAGGAAAAACCCTGAAATTGGCATAAATAGATCGTCGCTGTCCAAAGAAAACCATGTATCTCCATTTTTGTTAATTTTTATTTTTCAACATTTCAACACATCAGCTGTGCTTTACGCTGTGTGAACATTTCATGATGCATGGACCAATAGCAATGCTCTAAAATCACTTGGAATAAAACCTCTTTGCATTAAATGACTTAAATTGAAAGGTAAGAGTGTTTTAACCTGTGCATAGCGATGCTAACTCGCCTTTGTGCGAGGATCAGTATTCCCCCTTTTAACAATAATATAAAACATGTACTGACTCCGAATGTTATGTTCAACTTTTACTTTTGTATACTTGAGTATTTTTAAATGCAGATATTTTTCACTGTAGTATATTTTCAGCTCCACACTTCAACTTTAACTGAATCAGATTTTGACTCAGTACCTACACTTTCACTTCAGTACAGTTTCTCTGGCTGTTTTCCACTCCTTCTCTTATTCCGAAGCTCTTTGTTGTTTGTATTGTCAGTGGGTTTCGGGAAGCTGAACTTCAATACTCTCTGCTTCAGTGGAGTTCAATGTTCAATGTACAGGACTGGAGTTGTTTCTATGAATTGCGGGGCCAATGGATAGACTTCTATTCATTTCCTGGAGACTTGCCCAAACCTTTACCAGAACTAGCTTACCTTGACCTTACCCTCACCTTAAAATGTAATGATTTAACAGCCTGTGGTCCCCACAAGGAAGAAATGTACTCATATTGTGAGTGTATGAAAAGGCTTTGGTCCACACAATGTGACACACACACACACACGCACACACACACACAGACACACACGCACACACACACACAGACACACACACACACACAGCAATGCCTTTGTGCAAAACAACCTTTTCTAAAATCTGCACGTTTTTGTCTTGCTCATTTCCTTCTCTTATTTATTTATTATTTGCTACTCTGAAATGAACAAGGTGACAAAATGAAAACTGGCGAAATCTTTTATCTTAAATCTGACACAATCACAACTGTCAACATGCTACAAACTATTGCTAGTTGAGTAAGTAAGGTCAGCGTTTCTCAATTCCCAATTGCTTGGATATGTCCTCATCTTCTTTGAGTACCTTTTTCATTCTTGTCTTCCCGGTCGCAACTAGGTTTTCTGCAGTTGTTGCGCTGGTGTCCATCTTCATGTCTCATACATAATTGCTACATTAACAATGAGAAAAACAATACTGTCACAGTGAATTTGATATGCTAATCTCGCCAGGCTTATGTTAGCTTCTTCTTCGAATTTCCGTTCCACCTTAAGTAGTACAGCGGATAGAGACTGGCACCCATATTAGTGTTTAAATGTAAGTGCTACAACATTTAAGGTGGAACGAATGTGACAATAAGAAGCTAAATTCAGCTTTGATTTCTGTCCACTGTACGAGACTCAGTTACACTCAGCAAATCACGGCTGAGCCATTTGAAGTGGAAGCCACTGATTTAACCTCTAAATTTATACACTTTGCATACTAACTCACAGTAACTGTCCCAAAACGCTACCAGAATTCCCACTGGGAATTCTTCCAACTCTCCTGATTACCCACTCCTGCCCTGGCTTCTGGGTGCTCAGAGCTTTATAATGGAGTGACTAGGGCTGGTCATTTTTGTATTTTTCACTTTTATCTACATTTAATTGATCAGTTCCTGTAGTAAAGATTTATGCTTTGAGTAAAGATAAACTACTTCAAGCTGTTTAGTATTAACATAATAAACCCTGATTGACTGAACTGAGAGCTGTAAATTAAAAGTCATTAAGAGTGAACTGGTCAGACGTTACATTAGACAACATTATGTGGACGGGCGGTGTGGGTGTTCACTGAGACTTCCTGACACTTCCTGTGTTTCCTTTTGGATAAAGACTTTCCGGTGCAGCTCTCTCGCTGTGAAAGAAACACTGATTCCAGAGGTCGTGGAACATCAGCCCAAACCAGACACGCATTCCTCATAGTGTTGCACTTTAAATCCAGCCACTTTAAGCATTCCGTTCCAAGGTTTCAGCCTCAAAGTGAAATAATTTAACATTGTTTACACTAATACTGAGTTAATAAATGTTCACAGGTTACAGTGTGCCTTCTGCTGTCGTTAGTGTTTGTTAGGTCACTGCAGGTCATGTTCTAACTTGTACTCAAACCAAAGATCACAAAAAACTGTACCTGCTGCTTTTTCTACAGTGCCTTACACAACGATAATGTTCTCGGATTTAATCTTAGAACAAAATTCATGAGCGGAATTAATGCACTGCACCTTAATTATGCTTTATGTTTATAACCACCAGGCTCTTTCTCTTCCACCAAGCAATGTGCAGACACTTTGGAATATAACAACATTTCAGTCATAGGAAAGCATGCATACACATATTGTCATGCAATCTTTTCATCTTTTACTTTGCATGATCTTATTTCAGTTACATTGGCTCTTATTTTGGTTCTGATATCAGCCTAGAACACATATGCTCATTCCCAGGTGGAATCATACAAACTCCAAAATAAACAACTGATAGCCTGAAAGCTTTCACCACATGCATTTTATTCAGGATGTTTATTGACAGGCTGCAAAGCTACAATACAGTTGCACATGTCATGTCTAACAACAAATTTTATGAATGGAATAAATGTCCAGCAGATTAATGAAGTCTTGTGTTTATAAACACAGATATATATAAAGCAGCATTACATGATTTTGATTAAAGGAAAGCACACATACATGCACTGGGAATGCATTAAGTTCATCCCTTAATTTGTGTATTTAATGTCAAAAAAGGTAAAGTTATGTTCATTTGCAACAATTTCTAATGAACCTAAAAATCAAATATTACGCAAACAAAATAAAGAGTTAATTGTGCGTGTTAAGTGCTGCTAAGTGCTGAGTGGAACATTGCACAAGCAAGATGTTGTTCGGCACTGCTAAAAATAAAGGTTCCAAAAAAAGTTCTTTACACAATGCCATTGAGGAGCCACTTTTGGTTCCCAATTGCAAAAGAACATTTACAATATGTGAAGATTCTTTCACCCTTTCGCATGTTATTCATACTCACAAATCTCTGCTTGAGAGGTCCCAAAAACCAGTCCTCAGGGCATCCCACACAGCTCACACTAAAAATGGGAACCACTGTTCTATTTCAAATATGCTTCTTTAGGGAACCCAAAGTGGTTCTTGTATGCCATCTCTCAAAGAACCCTTTGTGGCACCTTTTTTAAGGAGTGAACCTAAAACCTGAGCCTGTATTTGAACTGGATGTCCTGGGTTGGTTGCATGGTTCCAAATCCCCATCGCTTGATGTCAATATCTGGAATCTTCTCATCTGGGTTTTTCAGCTCAAAGTCAAAATACGTGAGCATGAGGAACACAAACTGCTTCAGCTCATTTGTGGCGAAGAATCTTCCAGGACACATGGTGGACCCAGCACCCCAAGGCATGGTGTAATACTTCAGCTTCTTTCCACCTTTGTAGAACTCGGTCTTTTTGCCACCTTGAGGGGTGAGGAAGCGATCGTACTTGAAGGTATGTGGGTCAGGATGCACCTCTGGGTCCATTTGCACAGCGGTGTATGGAAACAGGGCCACTCTGTCACCCTTGCGGATGTTGTACTGCTGCCCATTGGCCATCTTCAAGGTTGTGTCCTGCAAGACTGCCCTGGTGAGGACGGGGGCAGCCGTCATGCGAAGGCTCTCCTCCACTGCACTGTCCAGAATGGGGGTTTTGAGCAGCATGTCTCTGGTCAGATTGATCAATGGTCCACCATGCTTCACTTCTTGCCCCGTTTCCCGGAGAACCTTCTCCACCTCGTTTCTGATGGCTGTCATGGCGTCAGGGTGCTTCATGAGGAACAGGAGCAGCCAGAAACTGGCAGGACCCGTGTTTCCCTGGGATGCCCACAGGAGAAGGAACATGTATCTGTCCAGCATGTACTCATCCATGCCTTCTTCGGCTCGTACCTGCTGCGACTCCATCACCCAACCGCTGATGTTCTCCTTGGAATTGACCTTCTGCACTGACAGCATGTTCCAGAAGAGCCTCTTCAGCCGCTCAGCCTCCATCTTCTCCGAGGGCCCCAGCACCCCGTATGCCAGTTTGGGAAAGAGCTGGTCATACTTGCGGAACTCATGGAAGAGTTCATCCGAGTGATTTCGGTCAGTTTCCTTGGCTTTCTCCAAACATCCTGAAGTTTTTGCAGTCTCGTTTCCAAACAGCGCCAAGTAACCAGCGCGAAACACGATGTTGTAGCAGTAATAGAAGAGCCCGGCCTCCTGCCATGGTTTGCCATTGTCACCGGAGCCAATGCTGTGCAGCATGAGGTTCTGGAGGTTGTTCATCATAGCCTGAGTCATTACAACCAACCCATCGCCCATCAGATGCTTGTTGCTGGAGGTCTGGATGTGCTTGTGGTCATCCTCTAGGCAAACGTAGCCAAACACTTGCTTGACCAGATGTCGTGCAAACTCAGTGAAGTCTAGATTTGCACGTGCCTCTTTGATCACCGAACCGAAGGAATGTGGGTCCGTCAGGAAAGTGAAGTAAAACCCTCCTAGCTGCACTGTGAAAATGTCCCCATGTTTTTTCTTCATTCTCTCCAGGAACTTTGCTGTGTCTCTCCTGAACTCCAGCACGTGTCCCAGCCAGGGCAGAGGGCCTTTATCCAGCGGGGGTTCCCCTGGTCTTCGCCGGCGGAAAGCTCCCAGGAGATAAAGCCCCCCTAGCAGAGAGACAAATAGCGCGAGCAGAATTTGCAGCAGATAGCCCATCATTTTCTCCTCTCTCTCTCCAGTGCCACACTGATTGCTGGCTCCAGCTTGTGTCTGAGTACACCAAAGCTCAGGCTCCTCCCCTCTGCTTCCTGTAAACCAGATACAAAATCTCTACATTCCTGCAGGCTAAACCGGTTTCTGCAGGCAGACTCTGTTCCCTGAGTCTGCACCGTCAGTGTTCTGTCAACACTGTCACTTCTTTCTAACTGCTTATCTATGTAGCCAATATGTAAACTGCGAGAAGTGGAACAAGGCAGAAGTTCACTTGAAGTGTTTTTGATCTTTTAATTGGTGTAAAACATCATTTTTGTTAATCTAAACTGAAATTGAGCTTTACAAAGTATTTATAAGTTGAATAAAAACCTGTTAAATTGCTTGTTACCACATTAAGTAAATATTATAGCCTAAGTGTTTACCCAAGAAGCATGGGAGAGTCAGGGTTTTGGTCCATAATGAAGCTTTTACTGAAGACTCAGCTCAAAGGAACAGCTTACAAAAGAAAATAGAGGAACTATTGTTAGCTCGGCAGCCGCTATACAGATGAGCCCAGCCTAGCCTTTGAGCTCCTTTCTGTGCAACTAGGCTATGTCAAGATCCGTCAGCAACTCCCCAAAAGATCATTAGCCTGCCGCTCTTCAGCTTAAGAGTCCAACCAAAGCCCATGCTTACGGGGGTTGCTGGGACTAAATTAACTGAAGCTATGATATATTAGGTTGAACTTGCAAACCATTTCCTACACTGTAAGAAGATCTCATTTAGAGACAAACAGCAATGACTTTTTTGCTTACAATTTTGTCTGATTTTCTAGAAGTTTGTAGCGTTGGGAGGGTAACTTTAAAAATGTATTCTGTCACAGATTACTGATTACCTGTTAAAAAATGTAAACCAAAGGATTACTATATCAATGTAATGTAATCTAATTGCTTTTGTTAATTTTGGGTTACTTTTTAACTTTTTAAAGTCATGTAACTAAATAAAGAAAAGAAAAAAAAATCAATAAAACATTTTTTAAAAACAGTTTATCTTAACACTTCAAAACAAAAAACTGCATTGTTTTATGAAAAACAATGATGGATTATAGGTCACTTAAATATCGTGCTTCACATAAACCACATTATCTTATTTCACATTTAGCAAAACAGCCAAATCTAAGTGGAGAAATACATGGAAATGTTTCAAACATAAAGATGACAAAATTGTACTGTATGAAGAGTTTGAGTTTAGGCACATATTCCTCTGAGCAGTGAAAAAGGTGACAAGTTCAGAAATTGAGGTACAGCTTTCCAGGAAAAATTTAGGAAAAAATGGTTCTCTGAGACGAAAACTATGACACAGATTATGCTTACCATGCCCTCTCTTGGTGAAAGAGCAGATGGCAGTTACTGTGAGTTAGTCAGCCATTCAATCATTTTAGCAGAATAACATTATTGTAGTTTTATTTTTGTATTTTTTTAGTAGTTTTTATTGAATGTTTGAAGGCTTTGTCCTTCTGCCAAACACATCGCATCTCCTAACATTGCTCAAACACTTTAGGGAGTGCCCAGCCTTAGCGTTTCTGTACTAAGTGATTAGACTGGGCAGACATGTGTGATGATGTGTATCTAACATAAACTAATAGATGCTAGCGTAAGATAGCTTAGGGTATTAGATAATTTTGTGAACATACTTAGCTAGCTAGCTAACTGTGGTTGCTATATTAGGTTATTTAATGGATGCACATAGCAAGTTAGCTAATTGTAGTTACTGTTTTATGCTGCCTTAAAGTCATATCAGAAATATTGTATTTACATGATGAGCGTACATGAATAGTGGTGGAACTCGATAAACCCTGAGGTTCCAATGGACTGTGAAATCTTTTTGTTTGTTTCACTTGATTTTTTCTTTACTCTATTTCGTACCCACAAAGCAGACACATTTGGGCCTAATCTGTGCCACATTGGGCACTTACAGCATTAGCAAGTGTTGTGTGGGCCAGACATGGGCCAAATGTCATGAGCCAGGCTAGACTTGAAGATTGGCACCATTATTAGCTAACACTGGCTAAATTAGAGATGGAAGACTTCGGTCATGGAGTCCAACTCAATTTGGTTATTTTTCTGCTAAAACTTGTATAGTTTAACTCCTCACTCAGCCAAATGTACAAAAGATTCAGCTGATAAGTCTGTGGCAGGTAACACTAAGTCACAACACTCCACTGGGCTCTAATAAAATGTGAGGTGACAAAAAAGTTGTGAAATTCCACTTTACATAAACCCTCAAAATGTGTTGTAAAGTTACCTAAATTCTGAATTTTTACATCTACATTTTGATAATAAACAATTAAAATGAAAGCACTGCATCCATTGTGTGTTTCTTTGGTTTTATTTTGTAAACATAGCTTGCTGTAGCGTTACCACAAAAAAACACTAGCCCTAGGCTAACGTTAACCGTCTTCAAAGGAAAAAAATGTGATATTTCTGTTTAAAACCCCTGTCTGTTCATTTTCATATTTATCTTCAGTTATTTATGTGTTTGTGAAAGGTTTGCTATGGCATGGCACAGAAATTATGTAGGTTCTTTTGATAGATTTAAAAATATATATATTTTTCTGCAGTTTTCGTCTGTTGGATTTTGGCTAACCTAGTTGGGCAGGTACAGTTTGGGGTTCCCACGCATTAAGCGACTGAGCACTTTGTTGAGGTCAGAGAGAAAAAGAGAAGAATCAGAAAGAAATGTGAGGGAAGAGTTACGGACTGTTTACAAAAATCAGAAGATAATTAAATGTATTCACGTTAATGTAGAAATAATTATATATATAACCTTATTGTAAAATACCAGTACATTTCACACATGTGACTATTTATATTTTAGGATTACATTTCATAATATAACTGTGGTTTCCAGAATAATGTTGTTTTTCCATTTTTCAGGATTTATTTAATTTAAGTTTCTCCACTTTTAAGGTTGACATATTTCGAGGGGAAATGGGGGGGGGGCTCGGTGTGTGATTAGCTGTGTGATTAGCTTAAGGATCAGCCAATAACATGCAGTGACTCAGTGACTGACACGAAGCCTCCTCATTCTGAAAATTGTGATTTTGAAATTAAAACTGAAAAATAAAAAAATCACGTTAAGAAATTTTGTTATTCTAGAAAACAGAATTATATTATGAAATATACATAAATAATATAAGTAGTGATGTTATTATGAACTGTACTGGTATTAAATATGAATTGATTTAATTATTTCCCAATGTATGTATTTCTATAATTATTCATACATTTGTTTATTTATAACATCATGAGGTCTTCATGTGTTTCTTATCCAGATCATATCCAGAAAAAAATTGTCTGGATTCTCTTTACACTTTTATCTAAAATGCGTCCTTGGTTTGAATAGATGAAGTCTGAGTTTATGCAGGTCAACACGGACTGAATTTTGGTTACTAGGTTGAGTGCATCTTCGGCAGGAGCTGAATCTCCAGTGGCCCCGTACTACCCATGTACTGCACTGTGCAGGTCATAAAATAATGACGTGTACACCCAAACAGCACACTAAGTGTTAAACGGAAAGTCATGCAGCCTATGGCAGAGTATCAGATAAGCTAGTTTTCTGTAGACATGTAATGAACTATTTGAGCTAAAAATTGTTTTTCATGTAGTATGAAATCACAGTGAGTAGAGAACAAACTTATTTGAAAACAACGTTAAGGCTCTTTATTATTGTTTAAATATGAACACAGATTTTGTTTTTGTGGATAATTTGGGCTGTGCCAAATGCATGTGCATATCAGAATTATTATTCATCAAACCGCTTAGTACAGATAGGGTCGTGGTAGCGGTTGGGAGAGCAGAAAAGACAGACGACTCTGTCCCCCGCAACTTCCTCCAGCTCATGACCTTTTCTGAGCCTGCTGCATCTTGTAGAATAGATTAATGTTTTACATTAGGAACATATGGAAATCACCACATCTGGCAGATACTGGCATTGATATGGTTGCTGGTTTTCCCCATGATTACATGCAAATAGTGTGTTTGGGTGTTACGAGGCGTCTTCTTGAACTGTGGGTTGATACTCTTTGCTCTTTGCGTAGCCAAAATTTAGTGTCGGCACATCAAATCCCATCTGAATTTGTCAGGAAACCTCAGAAACTCAGTGAGAGACTCAGTGAGTGGTGGAAAGCAACGGAGCTGTGGCAATTTTTGTTGTTCACTGGCCCTGATAGTTTTGACAGATGTCTTGCTGCCTCAAGTGTATGATACTTCATGCTCTCTATATTTTGGTTAGTTCGCTGTATTGGCTGCAAATGAATCAACTGGCTCTTCACTTTCTTGTCTCTTTGGTGGAGCATTATGGCCTGCTTCATGGTAAAGACCAAGTAGTGTACAACACAACGGACTAGTGCATCTTTAAGTCAAGTCAAGAGGCTTTTATTGTCATTCCATCTATGTACAAGTACCCAGTGGAGCGAAATTACGTTCCTCCAGGAACAACACGGTGCATCAAGAAACAAAAAGTACAAAAGTACAGAAGTACAAAATTACAAAGTGTGAACGTGCAGACAGTGTGCAAACAAAAATTAAGCTAGAAACAATACAATAAATACGATAAATTAAACAGACATTAGACACAGTAAACAGACCGGACAGTGTAGCACCGACACAGCACAGATTTCTGGACATGAGGTAGTGGAATAAGGTGCAGACATATTTAACATGATGTGATCTGTAAGTTACGTCAGATAACATACATGAGCACAGCAGTTACTGAGGTAGTAAAACAATTATAATTACTGAGGTAGTAAAACAGTTCCTCAGGTAGTAAAACAGTTACTGAGGTAGTAAAAACTGTGTAAACACAGTATCGAGCATCAAAAGAGGTGTGTATGAGTGTGTAGGGGGGGATTTAGTTCAGTCCTTGTGAGTTTAAAAACCTGATCGCTTGAGGAACAAAGCTGTTGCAGAGTCTGGCAGTGATGGCACGGATGCTCCGGTACCTTCTGCCAGACGGCAGCAGTGAGAAAAGTCTGTGTGTGGGATGGATGGGGTCGTTCACGATGCTGGTGGCTTTGCGGATGCAGTGCGTGGTGTAGATGTCCATGATGGAGGGGAGAGAAACCCCGATGATCTTCTCAGCTGTCCTCACTATGCGCTGTAGCGTCTTGCGGTCGGAGGCGATTCCCAAACCAGGCGGTGATGCAGCTGCTCAGGATGCTCTCCACAGTCCCCCTGTAGAACATGGTGAGGATGGGGGGGGGGATTAACTTTCTTCAGTCTCCGTAGGAAGTAGAGGCACTGCTGGGCTCTCTTGGCTATGGAGTTGGTGTTGAGGGGCCAGGTGAGGTTCTCTGTGATGTGGACGCCAAGGAACTTGGTGCTCTGGACGATTTCCACAGCAGAGCCAGTGATGTTAAGTGGGCGATGGTCACCCCGCACTCTTCGGAAGTCAACAACCATCTTCTTAGTTTTGTCTACATTCAGAGACAGGTTGTTGGTTCCGCACCAGTCTGTTAGCCGCTGCACCTCCTCTCTGTACGCTGACACATCATTCTTGCTGATCAGACCCACCACAGTCGTGTCATC